TCTGTTACCAACTAAATAATAGTATAAACTTATTGCATTAATTAATTTTAAAAGATATTTATGCACATGTCTAGTAAATTTTAATTGCATAAAGTAATGAAAGTGCGCGCTGATAATAATTTCTACATACGTGTTGACTTCTTTTCATTTTGATTTTTCCCCTCATGCAGTTAACTTTGTATTACGCGTTTTTACGCGACAATATATAATAACTTATTACAAAGATTATGTAAATAAATAAATAAATAATATAATATTATAGCATTGCATTACATATTTGATATGTTTATCAATTTATGAATCCTACCACATTAATTATTCCTCTATAACTCTCAAATTGAAATAATAATAGATTATGATAAAGTCGGTTTTGTTATGAAACCAACAATTGGTTCTATAGTGCATTCAACTTTTTATATACAACAAATAAACCTACCATATTTTCTGATTATTTAATAACATTGATATAATTTTATTAATATGATAGGTTTATTTGTTGTATATAGAAGGTTGACTTCACTATGGAGCCAACTGTTGACTTCATAACAAAACCGATGATAATGAGTCAACTGTTGACTTTATAGTAAAACCGACTATAATGATATACTAGTGCTGTTTGTAAAGATAAGTTTGAAGGTGTTTTTATTTTTATGTGCGTGTTGATTAAATGGGTCACCCCAATTTCGTCATCTATCTATCATGTAATTGGACCGGTTTTCTAACATCTACGTATATGCCCGGTCCACACGTACATTCCCGGTCCACGCATTTGGTCTCGAATCGTTTACCTCACTTGCCGTAATCTTTTTAGTCAAAGCAACCTTTGTTTTGATTCAATTGTGCATTTTCTTTTTATTATTATTGTCCAATAAATAAATATATTTGTGAATTGGAGTTCATGTAGTCCAAATTTAAACAGTTGGATATTAATTAGGGTGTTTTAGATTATAGATAATTAATTATTTTAGTTGATTTAACTGGAAAATTCAATGTGTAGTATTTCGTTAATTAACAAAAATTAATAATTATTACGTTGTATTATTATTACTATTATTATTATTATTATTGTAAATTATCTCTCTAGAATACTTTTTTCCAAGTTTTTTTTCTTAAGAATTAATGTTTTCCGGATTAGTCGGTTCTCATGTGGATCCGGAAACCGGAAGGTCCCCGTACCAAAAAAAAAATATAACTATGTAGCGGATTTGGTTTGTGCATGGGGTGCAAACGAGCCGAGCCGAGTCGAGCATTGGTCTTATCGAGCAAGATCGAGTTTTTTTTTTTAGCTGCTCGAGCTCGAGCTCGACTCGATAAGAAATTACAATACCTCGAGTTCGGCTCGAAAATTAAACAAAATATCATTAAACACCTATGCTAATATATATAATAAGGGATATTTTAGTCATTAACGTATATCTCGAGCCGCTCGACGAGGCAAAATATGGACTCGAGCTCGACTCCAGTTCAGTCAAACTCGATCTCGAGTCAAGCTTTGACTCGAGCGGCTCGTGAGCCGCTTGACTCGTTTGCAGCCCAATTTGTGAATCCTCAAAGTACGATTTAATCTGTTAATTTACCACCGGTTAGAATCAGTTATCAAACTAATAAAGCCCATATTAAATAAAAATAAAATTAAAAAAAAAAAAAAAAAAAAAAACTCTACAATCGAATTCGGTAGTTAATAACTTAATATACAAGAGTATGTATATTAACTACCATGGTATATTCACAATCTTGACTCAATTAATATGCCTGTGTTTATTATTATTATTATTTTGGTTTGTTTTATGCACGTGTTTAAATGTGTGATTTATTTAAATAATCCTTTTTATCATACACCAATAAATTAAGCATCTAAAGACCACCGTTCAACTCAATGTTATTTACCTAACAATTTCATAAACTTGAATTTCAACAAGTCAATATTTATAGTCAAGGTCAGGAGAAAATAGAAAATAACTAGAAAATTCAACTTCTAGAACCAGCCAAAATGGTCAAACGTGCACCCAAGAGCGCTTGGTTTTTTTTTTTTTTTTTTTTTTGGTACAATTTTTTTTATATATATAAACCCACCCAGATTTTGAATATTTTAATTTTTTTTTATTTTGTTTTTAATAGCCAGCCACGGTATCCAGAGTTATGCATCCGTTGGTCGACCGGGGTCGCACACTTAACAGTGGTGGATGAGTCTCCTAACAACGGGTTTTCTGAGTCCAAGCTATTTGATTTGCACTTTGAATTTGTAACAGTAATAGCATATAACTGGCATGCATATTCTACATATTTATTTAAATACATTTTTTCGGTATTTTATTTCAATAACAAATAAAATTGAATGATCACTAATTTTTTCTAATATATTACCTTACCTTGGGCCTGCAAGTCTATTTGAGCCTGCCACCCAAAAGCGACAGAGACAAGTTTGTTAAAAACAGGTCCAACTATTACAACTACAAAAGGCCCATATTTCACATCAAAACCCGCTCAAGAAAAGCCCATTTTGACATTATTAAACGCCCATCGTCAAATCCGTCTTATCATCTCCGAGTCTACGTGTCAATATTTGATACTTCATAATTATTATTTCGGTATTTGGTCATCTATGTACAAATTTTGGACGCTTTGGAATAGTGATATACTAATACAACGACGTGTATTACACGGGGGCTTGTTAATTTTTTTTTAAATCTAAAATTATTAAGAAAAAGTAGTTGAAAATTTAAATACCTTTTATAAAAATATATATATTATTATATATTTAGTATGACACTTTTTATTTGTGCGACATACATGTGTTATAGTATAATAATTTTTTTAACTTACAACATATAACTACATTAAACATAAATATATCAATTGAAAAATAATTTTATTTTTCTAATGATTTTAATAAATATTATTATTTTTTATTATTATAAAAATAAATATAATTTATTTATTTCATATATATAATATGGATGTCAAATTGAAGATCATCAAAAGATGATTAATTCGGTATATTATATATGTAAAACTGATAAGAAAACAAAAGTTATCAATTTTTAAAATACATTTACAATTCAATAGCTAATTGAAGGAAACAAATCAAAAGTATTAGTCACTTAGTACCTCACTATGTATAATTACAAAGAATTAAAAGGTTATATTAGTACAAGTGATATTAAAATACCTAAGTTAGCTAAATAATATTTATAGAATATCTGAACTTAGATTATTAAATTAATATATCAATATTATTTGTCCAAACCTAGTTACGAAGCATGATTTTTCGCCAAGTACAATTCCGAAGCACCAGAAGCAGCCACGTAGGCTCAGCGCATTCGGGAATTATATATAAATGTGATGATGTCTATTTCTATGCTTATAATTTTCAAAATTATAAAATAATCGATTAACTTTAAACTATAAATATACTTAAACGTCAATAACTTTTGCATTTATTTATTTTAATTTTTATAATGAACACTACCTCCTATTTTTAATATATGTCATTTTGAGAAGTTGTATGTTAATTAAGAATATTTTTTTCTGTCAATAATAACCTTATTTAATAAAGATAGAGAAAAATATTTTGAGAAAAAAGTGAAGAGTGAATATGAAAAGACGTAATGTATTTATTGGCTAATGGAATAATATGTACAAAAGATCCAAAACGACATTTATTTAGTAAATAGTTGATAAAGCTAGAATAACATTTAAAAAAAAAATAGGAGGGAGTATTAAATTATATATTTAATTTAAAAAGACATCAAAATTATTTATTAATTAAATAAACATATCCATAAAGTCAACATATGATGTGATTTAAAAATTTAGATTATTTATTAATTGAATAAACATATCTATAAAGTCATATATGATGTGATTTAAAATTTAGTTATAGATTGATATTCACGCATAAAAATTAATGTCAAAAGAAACTTCACCATTTTGCTGTGAAGTTCATTCATGGCTTACAAGTATTTTGCTGCATTACTATTTTATTAAATATCGAGAATTTGATGTGTTTTTCTTTTGTTTTTGGTACAAAAAAGGGAGGTCAATGCCTAACGGACGCTAAAGAAAAACGCGGTGGAGATAAGCCACGCCAATAACATCATGTTTAATCCACTTGCCGACGGATGGTGGTGAGACATGTATATGATGCACCCTAAGGGCTCGGACGCCACTAACGAAGCCAGATGATCTACAGTGAAATTCGCTTCTCGAAACACATGATCCAAATGCACCGACCAACTTTCTCCACCACCTACCGTACGCCCAAAGCCCAAGTAAGAGATAGCTCGTGAAAGAGATCCCACATTTCAACACCGGTAATGGAACAAATACCGACATCCATCATAAATCCTCCGAGTCAATAAAATTCAACGGAACTATCACTGTTGACTGTGAGCATATCTCGATTATTTTTACTCCCGCTTGAACTCTATGAGTTTGCCTTGCTTGAGGCTCGACTTGTCTCGACAACAAAGCACAAATAGTCGAGATCGGCTCGAATTTTGGTAGAGTTCAACTGAAATTTTTAATTAAAAAATAGTCTAATGATAGATGGTTACTTCGGTAATTTACGTACATACGAGCTGCTCGTCGAGCGCTTCAACGTACAAATTGCAGGGTTTCGAGCTCGGTCATACTCGAGCTCAAATCAAACATTGACTTGACTTACGAGCTGTTTGATTAGTTTGCAGCTTGATCTAGATCCACATACGTTGCTGTTTTCCAGAGTGACATGAGGGATCGTGACAAATGATAATAGCTTGATACTTATATAGTTTCTGTTCAACGAAATTTCACTATCTCAACTATAGCTGTACCACCCTCCTTTTGATCAATTTATATAGATTTTTCTTATAATATATTGCATTGATTTCCAAATTGCAACGTTTCATCATTTCTATTACATAAGTACACCTCTTCGTAAGTTTGCACTCAAACTAAAAAACATGAATGAACTCAAAACATGACTTCACTGTTTTTGTCCCAAACTTTCAACACTACTTTCACTCCATGCCAAAAATCGGCCTTCGTAAATATGATAGGCTCGATTTCGCATCTTCCAACAACTGTGCCGCGTGTTGTGGTGCCGCCAGTGCCCGATTTCCATCATCAGTGCCAGAAACCTCTGCATCGCGAGTCGTACCCACCTCCGGACTCGATGGTGCGCAAACATTAATGCCTTGATCTTGGTAGTAACTGTAACAGCATTCGTCGAAACGCCCCTCACGGTTGCTACTATTATTTTCATAGTTGACCGTCAAGTTGGACCCGAATTCCATGTTGTACAAAGTTGTACCTTCAACAGTTGTACAATTCGTATTGGGATCGGAAATAGGGTTTTGGCAGCCTAACGCAGCCCACAAGCTCGATGGCGGTGGATGGTCGTGCTTCGCAATGGGCATCGCGAAAGTCGATGTCGAGGGTGAATTGAGCGACGGGAAGGGTAGTGATGTTGCGGTAGGGGATAGGTCTAGCTTGTTGTTTTCGTCCGAGGAGTAGGTCACATCCACACATTGATTGTCCGATATCGACTGTGACAAGGTTTTAGGTTTATCAATCGACGACGAGATGGGCAAATTGTTATTGGCAATGCCTGCCACGTCGTATCGACTCATGTCGAAATTAGTGACCGCGTTTGGGCCGCGGAATTTGATCGCGGCTATGTCGTAAGCCTCGGCTGCTTCTTCTTGAGTGCCTATTTATGAAAAGTGTACAAAATTTTAGATTTTAAATTCTATTTATAAGAATTTAATTGTAGCTAAAGGTATTGGAGAGCTAGCATGCATAGAAAGACTATTTATGAAAATGAATAAAAATTTAATATTTAATTTTTATTAATTTTACGAGAGAATTTAATTTAATCAACATATACGTACATCTAAAAAAATTGGTCGACCAACGAATTAGTCGAGACATAACTCTGAAACCGTGGCTGACTACTAAAAAAAATTGGCGAGCTAAGAGCTAGCATAGGCTAAGAAATATGGGAACATATTAATAATCCCTTTGGCGCGCCACCGTTTTGGAAGCCAAACAGAAAGCGCCACGTCACGCATGACTTGTCGCTGTTTTCATTTATTTTATTTTTTTGCTTGTTTGGGAATATTGTTGGTGGGGCTATTCTACGACATGCACCGCCCAGACCAACCAATAGAATCATAGTTGGTGACAAAAAAATTAAATAAAAAAAAAAAA